TAACGTCTTGTCTGTGTTTGTTGGATGAACAAAATGATATCAGTAATAATGTCAAACATATCATTGTAACTGTAAAAAAAGGACAAACTGAACCCTTATTACGAACAAATTTTTTTAGTATTGCTTCCTAACACAATCTATTTACTTTAGTTTGCAACAGACACTTTTTGCTAGCTCTTTATATTCTGAGCTACCTTCATCAACCAGAATGAGGTTCAAACAGTCGATAATCCACTTTTCCCTTTCATCTATGTGCGTCAGTGCCCATTTCACCATCCCATTCCTTTTTTCTTTACTCAATTTCGCACCTTTCTTTTCCATGTTCCTTACCAGCCATTTTAGTACCAGCCTTGTTGTAAAACACTTCTTTTTACTCAAAGATCTGTCATCCTCTAACAAATTGTACTCTGTTTCCTGTGTTTTGATGAAGTTGTGTTGAAATAGAACTGGTTCAGAAAGCGTAAAACCAGTTACCTTGTTGTAGGTGAATGTTTCTGCCTGCTTTTTAGTCAAACTCAAATTGTGTTCGTCGTTCACTATGCATCCTAATTGCTTTTTTATGTACGAATTAGCTACGTCGTACTCTTTGTCTAGAAATGTCAATTTCCCCAGGTATTCTGTTTCATTTGCTATATTTGCATAATTCCTATTGAAATCGCCCTCCATCTTGCATTCTATACTATTGAATTCGTATGTAATTGGTTCTGCTATTTTCACATCTTCTCTCAATGCAAATATGCTTGAATACTCATTCGATGCCAATGCATTCATTGCCTCCATCGCATACAGATTCACTGCTGTTTCATCTTCAAGCTTACACCTACGTAGTGCTTCATATGCGTCCTTCATCTTCCCCATGAAATACAAACACTGTGATTTCAACAAATTCACCCTTTCCCCATTCTGTTTCCTGAGTATTTTCAATGCTCTATCAAATTTTTTCAGTTTGTAGAAGCAATACGCCTTTTCAAACGTATTTCCGTGAATGAAGAAGATTGCATCCCTGTATCTTTTAAGATGAATTGCTGCAATAACCTTGTATTTATCGTAGTATGGCGAATTAAGCATCAGAATCTCCTCATATTTCTCATCCTCGATAAGCTGCTTTAGTTTCGACATTTTTGGGGCAAAAAGAACCATTTATCCTCATCAGATGAATTCAGCTGCATTTGCAGATGCCAAGGCGTAGATGCAGTGGATCAGGCGATCACCCAAATTCACAGTCACCAAACACAACAGCCCAATATAAAGGCGCTTCTTCATTCTCTCATTGAAGTAGAGTGCTGCAAATAGAATCGCCTGTGTTACCCCCACAATAATTAACCAGGTTATTCCGATGTACGTATTCATTGCCTTGCTAAACAACTCCTCTATCAGCAGAATCAGTGTATTCAAAATGGTAGCTGTTGCAATTGCATGGAACTCAAAGAATGAAATCGGGTGCTTCTTATCGTTTTTCTTGGCCATTGTGACTAAAAATAGTCCAATTGGAACTATCAACAAGTAGACGTATTGGTAGATCGTGGCTACATTCAAGTTGAAGAGTGTCATGAAAACATGCACGAAGACGTTCTTGAGAGCAAATACCAGTGAAATTAGGAATAACTGATCTCGTTCCAATTTGGTTGAACCTATCACAAACTTCCCTGAGAAGAATTCCCGTAGATTCTTGAAAATTGCAGTTAGAATCAACAATGCCATGTTACACGTGAATGAATCGTATCTACCACACCATAAGGTAGTCACAATGCGTCCTTCAACTCTGATGTACCAGAAATCAGAACATGCTTCTATAAATCCATTCAGGAAGAAAAGTGCTGCAATTTCGATGTATTTGACTCCAAGTGCATCAATCAATGCTATTTGCTGCGCGTAATTGAATAAGAAGATGTTAATGAAGTTGATCATTAGTGGCCAGAACATCAAGCATGTACTATTGATTGCTGCAAATAGTGCTATCTGATTCATGGTGAATGCAATAATAGCAATCATCAGACCAAGCAAAATGTCAGTTCTGGTATTCTTTGATCTGTAGCCATTCAGAAATAAGAATCCGATAAATATGAATGCCAAATATGAGAATATGCTGCTTCCTGCCTTTTTGTGGGCTACTAGCTTTGCCAGTGGTTCGTGAATTAGTTCGTAGATGTGGCCAGTTGCGCTATTGTTCATAAGCAGTATCATATACGCTTTTAAAACACTGAAGTCCTTGTTTTTGTAGCACAGATATGTGATCATTTTAGGGGAAACTTAAAGGATAAAATTTACCTGAATTCAACCACTGAATTATTCAAAAACCTCGCTCTTGAAATTGCTGAGTTTGTTCTGAAGAAGCGTACCTTGTAACATATCTCTGCTGACTCGCATCTTCTCGTACTTCTCTGCAATTTTCTTGTAAATTTCTTTACCGTTTTTCCTAAATGCAGCCACAAGCACTTCCTCGCCGACTTTCATCGTAACAAACGCATCCATCTCTTTCTTTGCAAAACACTCGCAAACCAATGCCATCGCTTTCACCTGCGTCTTCTTGTCCGTTTTCAACTCGTCAATTTCCTTCAGAATCACTTTGTTTGTTTTTGTGTTTATGCTATTAAGCTTATTCAACAAAATCTCATTTTGTGTTTCTTCCACCAAGGTAGAGATTCTCTCTGTGATTGCCTTGTTCTTTTTTCTAATCAGATCCCTGTTCAACACAGTTAACCTACGTTTCATGTAAACAGACATCTGCTTATCTTCCAACCTGGCCAATGTGCCATTTTCAATTGACTTTTTAGCTTCATCTGCATTTAAATCGCACTCATCAGCCAATTCGCCTGATACGCAGATGATTCTACGTCTTCCACCACTTACAGCTGCTTCTGAAACAATACGCACCTTGCGAATCATAGATGACTTACTAATGTGTGTTCCACCACATGGTTCCATAAATACCATTCCATTCACATGAGTCATCTTAATAATACGCAATGGATCAGGATACTTCACATTCGGCATCAAATGGACATTATTCTCAGCCACTTCCTTCTTGCTCATTGAAAGGACTTCAACTGGTGAGTTGCTCTTTATGAACTCATTAACAGCATCCTCAAGGACCTTTAGCTTTTCATCTGTTATTTTTCCACTATAATTGAAGTCATAGGTGCATTTGAATTCATCAACGTAGCTTCCTTGCTGTTCAGCATCCTCATCAATGTAGACTGTAACCAGATCACCCAAAATGTGGCATGTGCTGTGATTGTTTCTGATCTTCATTCTTCTCTCCTGATCACGTCTTATAACTACTTTTTCTGTCACGACACCTTCCAACTTACCATAATGAACGATGTAGTTCCTTAGAATCTTCGTGTCTACAACTGTGAATTCTCCAACCTTCTTGTTCTCCTTAATAAACTCAATAGTCCCAGTGTCTCCAACTTGTCCACCACATTCTCCATACATGTTTGTCCTATTGAAAATGAGTTGATACGTTTCACCTGATTCTGCCTTGTCGAATTCAACCAATTCATTTTCTTTTATGCATACTAACAATTTGGCATCCAATTCAACCTGCTTTTCATCGTACTTGAATGAGTCATCAGTTCCATCAAATTGTAATTCAATCGTAATTGGAGTCTCCTTCTTGGTTTTGCTTCTCTCCTTCTGCTCTTGCAAATGCTTTTCAAAATCCTTTGTTTCGCATATTACGCCTTTTTCCTGTGCCATTAGTTCAGTGAGATCCCTTGGAAATCCATACGTGTCGTACAATTTGAATACGCTCTCGCTTGTCAGCCTGTTATCTTTGACCAGTTTGTCAAATTGTAGAATGCCTTTCTTTAGTGTCTGTTTGAACATGTTTTCTTCTGCGTCAATTTGCGATACGTCAACTTGTCCCAATTCAAGACAATCAGCTGCCTTCTGAACTATTTTGGAAAGACTGTTCTCTCTGATTTGTAGCACTTCTGATGCAAATCGAACTGCTCTTCTCAGAATTCTTCGTAGAACGTATCCAATTCCCTCATTTCCAAATGAAACACCATAATACAGGCAGATTGCAAGTGTTCTTGCATGGTCTGCCACGACTCTGAATGCAACTGTTTTGTTGGTTGTGCCCAAATCATCGTATTTTTCACCACATGTTTCTTCTTCAGTAGATTTGATGATTTCAATGAACGTGTCAATTTGGTAGTTGCTTTTGACTTCCATCAAAATGCTAAGCAGCCTCTCTAATCCAATTCCTGTATCGATCTTCTTCACATCCAAATCAATCAATCCATGTGGTGTTCTATTGAATTCCATAAAGACGATGTTCCAGATTTCCAGTACGTTTGGATCATCCTGGTTGACGAGAGCAGACGCATCTCGTCCTCCAATTCGGTCGTAATGAATTTCAGTGCAAGGCCCACAAGGTCCAAATTCCCCCATTTCCCAAAAATTGTCTTTTTGACCTGCACTAACAATTCTGCTTTCTGGAAGATATTTCTTCCAAATTGCTCTGCTTTCCTTGTCCATTTCATCGTAGACTGTGACGTAGAGTCGTTCTGTATTCAGGTTACAGACCTCAGTCAGGAACTCAAATGCATATTTTATGGCTTCTTCCTTGAAGTAGTCTCCAAATGACCAATTTCCCATCATCTCAAAGAATGTGTGATGGTAGTTGTCTTTTCCCACATCTTCAAGATCATTGTGCTTTCCACCTGCTCTAATACAGTGTTGCACCGTGATAACTCTCTTGTATTCTGGCTTTTCTCCCAGGAATATCTGCTTGAATTGGACCATTCCCGAATTCACAAAAAGAAGACTTGGGTCATTCTGTGGTACGACAGAGCTGCTTGGGAGCTTCTTATGTCCTCGTGCTTCAAAGAACTCGTAGAAAGCATTCTTCAATCTTCTTGTTGTCCAGCTGCTCATATAGGGTATAAAAATCTTCAAATTAATGCAAATTGTTACAAACCGCAACATGACTCGGTTTTCCACTAGGGGCAAAAGCTTGCACCTCACGCAACAAGTAGACAATGACATTTAATTCAGAAGTACGAACGAATAGATGACAGCCCCGCTGCAGTTATCACACTAGCATCCGATTCCAGAAATTCATTCTAGGAATGCAATAAGACAAATTTAATATATCGACTTAAAAGAAAGTTAATGAATAAACACCCATCAATGTCAACACATTCACCGGTTCAGAGCACAAATAAAATTCGTGATTTGTTCTAGAACATTTTAATGACCTGTGTTTCGCTTCTAATTGTTTGGATTACGCTTATCATACTCTTTCTTCACATTTTTCAGAATATCAATTAGGTCATCTGCTTCCATATGATTTTTAAGCAGCATCAACATTGTTTCTATTGCTTGTTCATCAAAGCTGTATCCAAATAGTCCAGCCATCTTTCTACACGCGTCTATTTCTTTCTCATTAAATTTCATGTTATTTGATGCAAAGAACATTCAGGGCTTCCAACCTTAAAACTTTTTGAATTGAGAAAATCTGCTGAATGTTGAGCTTTCAGCTGGTTGATTGTTGCTTGGTTTGTTATCCTGTGCTTGGTTTGTGTTATTGAATAGGCTGTTGTTACTGTTCTGCTTAACCAATTGGTTGAACATGCTTGTTGTACTTTCACTACCAAATTGATTGGGTTTGCCAAATGGATTTGAACTCGTGTTGCTTTGAATTGTAAATGGCTGTACTGGTTGCTGTGGTTGCGTTGGATGTGTCGCTGCAAATGACATATTTTCTGCTTTTGGAGTTATCTTTGGTTCTACTACTTCCTTTGTCTCTTTTTCCACTATTTTATTCTCAACCACTTTCTCTTTCTTTTCTTCTTCTGCCATTTGTTTTCCTTCTATCACTTTCTTTCCTTCATCAACTACGGCCTTTGTTTTTATTTCAATCATTTTTATTCCTCTTATGATATTCTGCATTCTTTCATTTCCTTTTTCTATAAACACATCTCTTCCTATCATTGGTTTGTTGTATGTTGCTGTTTTAATCGGTTTCTTTCCTTTGTAGAATAACACGGTATCAAAATGCCTGATTGTCTCCTCAATCTTCATGCAGTCTATCTTGTTGTATTCATCCACTTTTACTATCATTCTGCTCAATAACTCCTCGTATTTGCTGTTACTTCTCTCAAATATTCTTTTATACAATGCATTAATATCAAAATGACTTTCCAATATCCTGAATTCCTTGAACTCATTTTTCAATGATTTTTGGTTAAATTTCTCTTGTAACTTCCTGATGTCTCCTGACAATTCGTTGTTCAATTTGTCTTTGTTCTTGTCTTCTGAATTCTCCGCCTTATTTAAACCTGTTGTGCTCTTGCTCTTCAGGTTATCTTTAAACATTGAGAAGGTATTTTGAATTCCAAATGTATTCGCTGTATTGGTGATTTTGCTTTCGGGCTTCTTCTCTTTTTCTGATGGTTCTTTGTAGTCTGCTACATTTTGAAGCATTTTGTAGTCTATTTCTTCATCCAATGCCAAGAGAGTTGTTGCATCTTCCAGTGCCTTTTTCTCGAATATTCCACGTGTTTCATCCAATCTACAGAGTGAATCACCCTCAAAATGGATCTCCTTCAATTCAACCAATTTTTGCTGAACTTCTTCGTCATTGACTTCTATACAAAATGTGCTAGTCATCTCATCATCAACTAAGAAAATCCGATTGTTGTAGAACACGATGTTTTTGACCTGCATTTCATTGAATTCAGCATTCAAACGTAGTGCAAGTTGCTGCTCTTCATCAATGCACTCTGCTACCTGACTATTCAACAAATACACAAATTTGTCTGTATCAGTTGCTGTTATGATCATAATCTCATCGTCTTTTATCCTAAAACTAACACCAATATGTTTCTTTCCCTGCATCTCATTGTCACAAACTGCCTTTCTATTCGCTTTTATTTTCTCATCAAATTCTACTCTTTTTTCACCAAGCATCAAGACACCCTCTGTTTCCTCAATTACTTCATTTGTTTTCACCAACGAGTCCTCTTTTGATATTTTGTAGACTGAGTCATCCAATTTAACCAGGTTGTTGACGTAAATAGCCCTCTTGAAATTATTGTTCTTGATTTTGTACGTTTTAGTGCTGCTTGCTGCAATATAGATCCATTCCTTGTATACAAATGTGTTGTGTGTATTGAATATTAGTTCTGTTACGTCTGTTTCAATGAAGTCATCACATTTGGTTGTTAATATTTCCTTGAATCCAAGTTTCTTCATTGGGGTTTTAAAATATTTCAGGAAGTTTGAATTGACCTGAAATATTCAACTGAAACACAGCAGGGACAAACCAATTGAAACTGGCTAAATTCAAAAGGGGGTTGAAGTGAATGAGTGACGAATTGCACAGGTGCAGAATAAAAGGCACAGGATACGTGGATGAAATTGGGAGAATGGTGCTAAGGAATAGAAGTGGAGCTGTAGAAAGCGAAATGAGTGAAATGGCGGTGTTTTTGGAGGAAAACGACACAGATTACAAGGTTGAATACGAGAAACTGAGGAAACTGGAAAAATATGAAAAAGTGAGGGAAGAAAGAAGCAAAATAAAGCAAATGATAAAGAAATTGATTGAAGAGACGAAAGTTGATACGAAATACAATCAGAAACGTGTTAAAATAACCAAATTCGGTAATAAAGAAAAGAAAGGGTAATAAACCGAATGTAACTGATTCATCTTCAGGATCTTTTCTGTTTTGTGAACGGCAGCATATTGAATACACCTGGAGCATCACAAATCAGGAATGCAACTCGCTCTATTTGAATGTATTCACCCGCTTTGATGAATTCCAAATCTGATTCACCAAGCCATTCCTCAACTTTCTTGGATTCGCTGTTGAATTTTTCAGCCAGGTCTTCTGTTTCCTTATCATTCTGTAGATTTCCATATTCAACAAAATCAAATTTAAAGGCGTCCTTCTTGCTGATCCATGTCAATTTGTGCTTAGTCGTCTTGAAATCTCCATTCAGGTTCTCTATCAGCTCAATTCTCTTTACAATACCACCTACTTTCTCCATTTCTTTCACAATCATGTTTCCCCAGTGCATAAATGTGAATTCTTCTCCAATTTCAAGCAGTTTCGCATCCTCCTGGGCCATCAAAATCAAATTTGATTTTCTAAGGGTCTTTTTACCAAGTTGCTCATTCTTGTTGAATTTCAGAACACTCTCCAATTTTACAGCAATATGTTCATGATTGCTGTTGTAGACAGTGACATTGACTACATCTTTGGCTGGTACAGCCATGTAACGAGCTGCAATTTTATCAACTGCCTTTTTATTAGCTGCCCACAATTTATCCCATGAAATTGTCGATGACTTCTGTGATGCCCCTTGCTTCAAAATGTACTCTTTCAACACATTCATGTCCAGTCCAGCTCGTTTGATTCCTCGGAGCGTAGCTACGCGTGGATCATCCCATCCTGATACATATCCTTCATCCACATAGAACCTGATTTTCCTTTTTGATAACACGGTGTTCTCAAAATTCATTCTGCTAAAATCGTGTATTTTTGGCACATTCTTCAGATGTAGCTTCTCAATAAACCAATAATACTGTGGATTTCTGTCTCTATACTCATTAGTACGCAGTGTCAGTGTTACTCCATCAAGTGAATCTATTATTGGGCAAGCGAAGTCATATGTGGGAAATATCTTGTATTTGTTCCCTGTTTTGATATGTGTCCTACCAACCCATCTGTAAATGACTGGATCTCGCATTGCCTTATTCTTGTTTTCGTAGTCCATTTTTGCCCTAAGACAGAAATCTGGTTTACTCCCCTTGTTCATTTCCATGAAAATACCCAGGTTTTCTTCTGGTGTCTTGTTTCTGTTCTTAGATGCCATCCCATGCATTCGTTCCTCTCTCATCTGCTCCTGTGGCGTATCGTCGCAATAAGCCAATCCATCTTTAATCAATTGTATTGCTAATTCATACATTTTATCAAACCAGTCGGATGATCTAACCATTTTATAATCTTTTATACCCAATAATTTCAGATCTTCCACAATTGCCCTTTCATACTCTTTCTTCTCTTTCTCTGGATTTGTATCATCGTATCTCAATAGCATCTTTCCATCATGTGCCATTGTGTAGTTCAATAATGCTGCCTTTACGTGACCAATATGCAAATATCCAGATGCCTCAGGTGGAAATCTCGTTACCACATTCTTTGGTGCACTTATGCTTATTTTACCCTTGTCCTTTGCATTGTATTGCATCATATACTTCTTATTGGCGTCAAACTGCATTTTATAGAAATCGGATATTTCCTTGTACCTGAAACCCTTCTTCTTGACTTCCTTCACGAATCCTGTACAAGAATACAGAATTCCAAAGACCAGATCTTTCTGTACATCATTCAAATCAGTTTTGATCAAGTATTCCTGTACTGAGATTATGAATTTGTGCAATTCTTCACCTGTGAATTCTGAATTGAATCCACAGAATATTTCTCCAAGGTGTTCTCTATCTACGTGTTTCTCCAGAATTGGCTTACTGACTAATTCCTTACCATGCTTCTTATTCAATAAGTAATTCACGAATTCTGATTTTGCTACATTCTCGTACATAAATGGGTAAAAGTTTTCTGTCTTTCTATTCTCCTTAATTTATTCGTAGATGTCTTCGATGTAGTTTACATCATTCTTGTAGAAGTCACAATCAATTTCCAGGTTCTTCACAAAGTCATCAACAAAAATGGGAAATGCATTTTCATAAAATCCGCTGACATCCACTGCTTTGAACCAAAACTGTTCCCTTTCTCCTCCGTAACAGAAATAAGACACGTGTTCTGAATTACCCTGTCCATTCTCTTTAAATTTGTTCTCTATCCATTTTTGTGCCTTCTTTATCGTTTGAACATCTTTAAAATCCCTAAATGAGCAACCACAGTTGAATTTGACGTAATATATTCCATCATTCTCATAAATTATGAACTCTTCTTCCTCGCATGCCTTTTCTCCATCAAATTCCAATTCAGTGAGTTTCTTCTTCTGATGTTGATCGTAGCTTTCAGTCACAAACCTGTGTCCTTTGCTAATTTTAACCTGATCTTTGGTGCATACTTTCAAATCAAACTGATTATTGTATTCTACAGTGTATTTTGAGTAAATGTCATTCACGTATGTTACTGTTTGCTCTTTAGACATTAAATCGTATACTTCATTTCTATCCAATGGTTTGTATCCTACTGCTGCCACATACTCCTTATTATCTTTATCAATGAACCAGTATTTCATTCTTTCCAGGTATTTGGTTCGATTTACGTTCATTCTGTCAATGGGGAGTAAATCTGATAAATTTTTAGTGATAAAATGTGAGAAATCACATTCTCAAATGATTTAATATCGGTGAAACATTGTTTGAAATCAAAATCACAAAACAAAATAACAAAAATAACCCCAATGTCAAAAGACATAGAATTACCGCTGTCTGAAAAATTAGTAAATTATATCAGGACCGAGAGACCAATTGAGAGCGAATTTATAATTTCTACGGTCACATCCACAGCGAAAAAGGTGGTCGATGATCAGAAGTCCCTGCTTTGTAAGGGACTTGTTGCGATGCTTGGAAAGTCGACAAATGAATTTGTAGAAAAACTGTACGACTTAAATGAGTCAAAGGAAGAGGGAAGAAAGAGACTGGTTTCATTTAAAGAGGAGCCAAGGATCTACTTCGGAGGTGCTGAGTCAAAAAGTGTAGGAGAAGAAGACTTCAAGAAAAAGAGGAAAATGGAAGAGAGGGCTCCTGCTGAAACAGATGAGTATGTCAGCTACAACACTTACTTCAAAGATGACGTAGATGAAATGGATAAGCAGAAGTCACGAGAAGTCATTTTCAATAAAGTGGACGACTTAAAACATTCACAGGCAAAACTGCTTGAATATGTGCAGAATTATGGTAAACTGGAGAGCTTTAGGCGACTCAACAGAGGAAAGTGGCTCTGGGTCTTTGAAGATGCAGAAACAGCTGTAAAACTCGTCATGTCAACCAAACACGTCTGTAACGACTCGTCCATCAAAAAATATTTTAATGTTTATGCGCCTGAATTTGTCAAAGTGGACAAGAATGAAATGACTAAAAATGACATCCAAAGTCTCCTCAAGACACAACAGGAACTGATGGAGCGAATTGAGGCAAGCAGAAGTTTTAGAGAGTGGAACTCGTTGAAGAGTGTGACAGCTCAGATTAGAAGCCAGCTGATGAGGGAGCCTGAAAAAGCACAGTTTCAAAACACCAACAGATCTAGAAGAAGAGACCCACGAGCTGAGATTGAGGAAGCCAAGAAAATGGACTCCATTTATTCCGATTATTTTAGCTGATTCAAAACTAAATTTATTTGGTGATGCAAATCATCGTAATGGCTTTGCCCAGTACAAACTGCTTCTTCTTTCCGTTCTCTATGATTGAATTAGCCACTTCGTCAAAATGAGTCAGTTTTCCAAGCAGTGTCTCCCCACTTGATAGCACAACCATCACATTCTTGTTCAAATAGAGGGATAAATCGTGGAATAGAATCTTCTTCTGCCTGGAATCAACATTTTTGTTTTCAGCTTCGCTCTTTTCTTTTTTAACTGGCATTATGCATAAAAATACAAATAAGTTTATTTCTTTCTTTTTGCTTCATTTGTTCTGGTTACCTTTGCCCAATTCTTTCCAATTGCGATGAAGTGCTCTTCCATTTGGTCACAATCTCCGAATCCGTGGGAATCTGACAAACACATTGGACATGAAAGAATCTTCTTTTCTGGTTTACGATTCAACGTGTATTTTCTCCATTTCCTTGGACAGTTTCTGGCGTCATGATGCACTTTACAGACTCTGCATTCGCTCTGGTAGTTCTTTCTTTCTCTACATGAATTTTCCAGGTGTCCCAAATTGCCACAATTTTCACAGAACATCATGCTACATGGTTCTCCCTTGTGCATTATATCGCACCACATGCATCTTCGCTCCTCAAGCGTGGGACAATCCCTTGAAACGTGACCAGAAATTCCACAATTGTAGCACGTTGGCTCGTTTATGAATCGATTCTTTTCTACAGACTGCAATCTCAGATTTTCGTCTTTCTCAACTGTGATTGTTTTATTGTAAAATACGAAATGTAACAAGTCTTCGGTAGTTACATCACCATTCAGGTGGACGCAATTGAATCCATCTGTTACTTTTATGTGAGAAAACGCCTTGTGAAGTTCAATTTCAATTTCATTTTTTGTCATTCTGGGCCTAGGCATTTTTGTCTTTTTTGATTCTCTCTAACTCATTTTAACCGTAATTCACCTGCTTTTTGTGAACATAGTGTAGTGGTTATCACGTTTGCTTTACACGCAAAAGGACTCCAGTTCGATCCTGGATGTTCGCATTTTTTATGAGTTTATTCCTTCTTTTTTGTCCATTTTCTCTTGCATTTTGCAGATTCACAGTTGCATTCGCACTCCAGAATCTTGTCTGAACAGTAGTTTATCGTGAGTTCCTCTCCTGCTTCAATTACACGTAACGTGTAGTATTTGATTGCCCCAGTATCCAGGCAGTGATGTGTCATACAGTTTGCCTCACAGGAGTGATTCACGTATCGTGCTACGTTCCCACACATTGTTGCATCTATCACCTTATCAGGATAAACTGAGAACAAATACGTAGATTTGATTCCATTTTTCGCGTATTCTCGTTCTCTTTTCTCGACCATGCATTTTCCAATCAATTCGCCCTCGTATGAAAAGAGAAATGTGTCCGTAGGGCATTTTACGTTTGTAAAGACACCTTTCCCATGAATTCTACTTGGCCTAACCTCAAATATCCCAGGATGTCGTCTATCAAGTGCAGTGCACTGATTGTACTTTGTTGTGGCCCTGATTGCCTTCCTTTCCTTCGCAATCCTCCTCTTTTCCTCATAGCTCAAATCGAGATTCTTCTTTCCAAACCACTTATTTGAAAAAATCGAGTTCTTTAACGCCCTAAAGCAGAGCTCCCTGTCAAAGAATCCCGTCAACTCGCAAAACAAGTAGAAATCATTGCGCATGGCTTCAGGTAGTTGATCAATTTCATTGCAATTCTCCAAATTGAATGGCTCTAATTCCTGTATTCTCATTGAATTATAGCATTTCAAGGCCTCATTTTCCAATCGCGGTGTTTCTGGTGCTACCATCCCTTCTTTCTCCTGTTTTAGCACCACTGGAACACTTTGTTCCACCTCAATTTCATCCTGCTTTGTTTCTTTGTTCTTTTCCTGTTCATATTTGAACACGTTTCTGTTGAATACGTCAGAAACATCCTTCTTTGCTATCAGAACTGTTTGTGCATATTCCTTAACACGTTTTGGTTTAGCAGCACGTTCATATAGTGTTCTATCATAATTATTCTGTTTCCACCAACTATCGTCCTTCTTCTTGTTATCCTGACTTTGAGAGTACCATCCAACTTTCTTAAACTGCCTCTTTCCCCTTCCATTCCTCTGCTGCTCTTTTCTGAATCTATATTCTTCTCCATCTTTCTTATAGCTATCTTGTGATCCATTCAATATCTTGTTTTGTGCTACGGTACAGTCTTCTAGAAAATCGCCATTCGTCTTTTTATTTGCTCTATCCATTTCACCCTCATTTCTCATCAAATCTTCCTCTCTTCCCATTTCTAGTACACTTTTTGCAATTGTATTTCGTATTGTTTCGATGTCATGTTTTCCTGTCTCCGTCGTCTCGTTGCTTTCTATTGCTCTCGTTCTTTCTACTTGAACACGTCTATCTCTCACTGGCGAGCAATGCACCGATCCAATCGTTGGATTCACCTTCTCATTCTCCATTTTTAGTTCCTTTGTCATCCCAGGGTAAAATTGTCCTGAATAAAATTGCGAGGCATTTCAATAATCACCCTAATAATAATTTGCGTCATTTATTTCCTATTTCAGTGCTACATCTCACTTGCTGGTGTCATGGCATCACCATTTTCATCCGTAGTTGCCGACTTCAGTACCTGGAAGCTGCAACAAAGTGATTCATCCACGTTTAGAATTGCTGCTGCATTATTGAAGTCACCGCAGTAGTTTGGTGCACTAAAAACAGTCACCAGGTCCTTGTCCCCAAAGAACTCGTATCCCTCCTGCACCACTTGGTGTGCACGTGCTATGAAATCGATGTTGGTTGAATCCAGAAATTCTCGAAGCTTCTTCACCCCAAATGTAACCGAAACACCCCTGTCATTTTCACCCCATCCTTCAACCTGTGGATCTGGATCAGACCAGAGCAAATCGCAAAGCAGTCCGCTATCTGGGATGTCTGTTGGCCTACTGATATCGTGTATCTGCTTGAGACTCTTCAAGTCAGGTGATATTCCACCATGCATGCACAGAATCCTACCGTCTACCATTGCACTTATGGGAAGCCAGTCAAATGCCTCCGTAAACCTCTTCCACAGCCCAACGTTGTATCTTCTCTTGCATTCGTCGTAGAATCCGTATATTCTGTTGATGCCCTTGCTCTCGTGGTTTCCCCTAAGCAAGAAGAAGTTTTCAGGATATTTTATTTTGTAAGAAAAAAGAAGACAAATGCATTCGAGAGACTGCTTCCCTCGATCGACGTAGTCGCCAAGAAAGAGGTAGTTTGAGCTAGGCGGATACATTCCGTATTCAAAGAGGCGCAACAGGTCGCAATACTGTCCATGGGTGTCACCACAGATCTTGAGGGGTGCATTTAGCTCCAGCAGCATCTTCTGCGATGCGAATATTTTCTGGGCCTTTTCGCAGAGCCACTCGATGTCCACCAGCGCGATATTCACGAGCTTGTTGGCCGTCGTTCTGACGGCAAGCAGCTGATCGATGATCCTGTCCACGCGTTGCACCTCAGTCTCACTCAGATCCTTGTTCACTTTGCAGGTTTCCTGTGGCATTTCAGGGCTAAAATTTTGTACAAAAAGTGGAAGAGCCTGAAACAAATTGCAGTTTACTACGAACTGCCCTTCATTCTACTATTCAGCTCCTCCTCCAATTCTCCTATTCCAAACACCTTGTTCTGCTCCTCCACTGTCAAATCAGCCCCATCCTGCATCTTCTTCCTCAACTTCTTTGCTTCCTCAATTTCCATTGCCACGGCCTCAACCGTCCTGCTTCTCTCAGTCTCCTTTTTCAGTGGCCTCGTTTCCTTCTTCTCCACCTCCCCATTTCCACTGTACATTTTGTTGTACAAATCCATGGACAACGATCCAACGTCAAATGATTCCGTCTTTTCAATCAGCCTCAAGTCCTTGGGCCTATCAACTGCCACACTCTTCGTCTTATTTCCAAATACGTCTACTTTGTAGAGTGACTTGCACTCCATGGTCTCTGTGCACCTTCCATAGCAGTCGAATACGTCTATTTTATTCTGGCCCTTGAAATAATTCATGGTCGCAACCAGAAAGTGCGTATCATCGTTGAGCCACCTGAAAATTGATGCCCCCAGTGACTCAAATTGGCAGATGATCTCACCCTTCTCCACCACAGTTGAAATCCCAGGAAGGTTGCCGTATGCGCCACAGAGCACCCTCTTTTCATTGGCAGTGAAGTCCACGCAGTTTCTGGTGGCTCCCCTGATTCTTCTGATCAATTTCCCTGTTTTCGTGCTGTAGAGCATGCATCGTGCTGGTTGGGCACCAGAAACAACGTAGAACGCACTCTCCAGAAATCCTACGTCATAAATGTCTCCCAGTTTGCTATACTTCAATATTGTGAATGATTCGCCACCACTGTTTCGTACAAGGTAGTAGAAATCCAACTCAGCAAAATACGTCTTGGAAATGTAATCAGTTTCTACCAGCAGAACGATACTGTTGCCTGATTCATGTGTTCTGATTTTATTGGCCTTTTCTAACTGAATCAGTGATTCACTGGTTGCTTCCCTGTTCACTACTGTGAATGCCTTGTCTTCAACAATGTCTAATTCACCTGATTCACACATTTTTGTGCCGCCTTTGATGTGAATGATCTTGTTTTCATTTGATAAAATCATTGCTTCGTTAGTTAGCAACGAAATTGATTTGGGAATCTTTGACTTGTAAATTGGTCTATTTGATTCCAGGTCCAGTATGATCATCTTGTCATTTGATGTGTAGTAGAGTAAACTGTTGTTTATTCCAAATTCATCAATATTCTCTATCTTAGAATGGTTCTTGTTCTCTTTGTAGATGATCAGTTGTTCAGCCTGTGTTTTGATTGCTGTGTAGATTCCATTTGGTCCCATTTTTAGTTCAATGGCTTTCTCAATCTCAACCTGAGACTGCTCCATTGAATCTAAGTTTATGAATCGTAGCATTCTGTTGTTGTATGCAACAAGTCTATTGCTGCTTGTGACGTAGTCTGTTGCCTTGTATACGACTGGTTTTGCTCCAAATACGTCAATTATCAGTCCGACTTCGGAGAGTGCTACAACTGGCATGGGATGAATTTGTAAAAATATTCCATGGAAAAATATTTAGAAAAAATGGAAGAAATAAAAGTGGGAAATGGAACAGGAGCAGAAATACACGAGTTTGTACTGGCAATGAGTGAATATATCTTGAAAAATGGAACAAAAGAAGGAAATATGAGATTGTGCGAGGTCTTATTGAAAGAAAAATGTAAAAATACTCGTAAGTTGTACTATAGAATACTTGGAAGAACTCTAGTTGACTTAGAAGGTGTTGAAATAGACATGGAACGTGCTTTAGATGACTTCTCCGACTCTGATTTAATGGAAAGTTCTCTTAGGTTCATAAAAATAGGCGGAATCAAGTTCAAAAATTTGGAAAACCAAATTACGAATCAATTGGTGTTGGATAGCACCTTCATCAACGATGATCTGCTATTTTATATGAAGAACAACAACGAGCTGATCACCAGAATAATGGAGAAAACAGGACATGAATATTTCTACAAGAAATCAACAATTGCCTTGAACTTGGAGTGTCCTGAATTCAACTTGGATTATTTTGTGCCATTTTTACAGAATAGCGACAAGTTGGTTTGCATGTTCGCATACCAAGTCTGCCTGAAATACGACCACATCATCACCAAAGCAAGAATAACAAACCTGAATCACTTCGCATCTTTTGCAGCTCCATTCATCCACATAAAGTTCAATTGGCTCCACTTCAACAGCCTCAAAAATGGCCTAAGATGCTTTGATGACACATTTGAACTCTCACACGATGCCTTTGACTCGCTAAAACTGCAACAAATCAGCACAAACACACGCACCAGAAGTGACGACCTTGTTCTTTGCTCTGACTTTGACTTTCTGTTTGGAAATGTGTCTCCTAAACAAATAACAGATTGTGAGGAGTACTAACAGATGAACAGGAGACCTGTCTCTCCAATTGATAGCCAATTGCCATCAATTGTTTACATCGCCCCTATGGTAACATTCACAGAGTTGCAGACCTGGTTCACATTTTATACCGGAATGGAAATATTCCAGAAATCAGTGAATGATTCACTACTCAAGTTTGTGGGCATCCCATCCTGGATGTGTCTGATCTCCTCGTTCATCATGCTCATCATCTCAGCACTCAAATGTAAACGAGGCATCTTCTACAACTACACGCTCATCCCTGTCTCATTTCTGATCACATACGACACATTCATCAAAATATACATTAATCTGGTCAGCCGCTGCAACATGAAGGCCGTCGTGATGTCCAACGTCAACCTGATATTCGCCAACTACATTTCAGCCTACTTCATGCACTATTCCTACAACAAGAAGCAGAAGCTGGCCATGGCCGTGATCTTCCTCCTTGGAATCCTGCAACTCTTCTACAAAGTTCCAGTTCACAAAACAGTGAACTTGTATCCACGTGATTTAGCCAACTTTCTGGGCTCAATTGGAAATGCATTTGCCTTTGTGATATTCAAAAAGAGGCTCGAGAAGAAGGTTGAGAACGAGTGGAACTACACGTTCTCCCTCTCTGTTGTCAACACCGCCTTTGCGTCCGTCTTCTACGCAATCCACATGTTTTGGTTTCGTACAGTCACCGAAATCAAAATTGATCTTGTTTTCACTACCATTGGGATGTTCCTGAATGGAATGACTCAAATTGGAAGCCTCCGCATGGGATTCATTCTTGAGCCATTTGCTCTCTTCACAATTGAGCGAATTGTCATGTTCTTCTCTGCCTTCATTTCAGACAACATCAACGACAACTTCGTCAGTGTTCTACAGTTCCTGCTTGCACTGTGCTCTGTGATTTGTTGCAACTTCATTCTGCTTTACGACGAAAACAACAACTTCTTCTAACCAGGTCAATTAGTTAAGACAGTAGCCAGATCTACCACCATAACCAACTACCATAACTACCCCTAGTTAATCCAATAACAAAATTGAGAAAAACACCCCAGAATGACAGAAGAAAAAGATGATAATTTTTACGAGAGAGTACAGCGACTCAGAAAGGGTGATTTGGTGGCACAGAATAGGACGAATTCAGAAGGACACTCCTCCTTCTACAGAAACCCAGAGGAGATCCAGAACTTGTTGAACAGAGCCAATATGCTCAAATATAGGGCAGATCAAATCAGGACACCTGAGTCACTGAAACACTACTCCTTGGCCTACCTGTGTCACATCCGCGTCCATATCCTGTACAAGGGACAGAACAAGGAGCACTTTGGTGCACTGAAACAGGCCCATCGTGCTGCAATCCAGCAGTGTGAGAAGCACCAGGCCAAACAGCTCATTACTGTTCTCTATTATTTCATGTACATAATATACCATGATATAACTATGAATACCGTAAGCCACTCTGTGAAGCGCGAGAACAAGGACGAGTTCCTGAACCACAACTACCACAACATACTGAACCTATGTGGCCTATTCAGACACTTTCGAGAAAAGGAGTATCCGATAATACCATTAGGGAAGTTGGAGGAGCAGTTGAAGAAGATGATGCCTGAGTATTTTGACACAAACAGATAAATAGGATAAACCAGTGGAATATGGATCAGTCTTCCTCTTTACTTCCTGAAGAGTGTGTTGTATTTGTCATGGACGAGTCTCTCTGGGACTGTCGTGTTGATGAATCGCCTCATTGAATTGGCCACCTCAATTTCAACCTGAGTTGGCCTCTTCTGCGACGAGAATATCGAGGTGATGCTGAATCTGCTGCTCCTGTAAATGCGACTCTCCTTGTTGTAGTTCAGGTAGGTGAATACGCCCCAGACGTCCCTGTTCTTCTCCTTTGACAAATTCATCAGCTGGACAAATTCACCGTTATCGGATCGAAGCAAGGCCGTGTTGACTCTCATTCGCCTCCTCTTCAGAATGCGATCGTACTGTGGCTCAGATGCGCATATTCTGAGCAAGGAGGCCACTCGCTGCGATATGGCAGGATGGGCCACTTCGTGTGGAAACATGTCCTGGTCATCTGCAACGAGACTGAATCCGCTGTAGAGGAGAAAGACAAAGGTGAAGAAGGCGTTGTTCTTGCAACTCAGGTGGAGTGGCGTCATCCCATTGAACTCCTGGTGGTCCTGGTAGCCGTATTTGGTCAGAATCAGCGTAAAGTGGTCTGCATTCTGAACCAGAAAGGAGAGACGAGAGAGAGGCCCTGCTTCAGGCGTGTTCTCGAGGATCTCTCTCAGCCTGGGCGTCTTCTTCTGCATGCAGACGAAGTCAAGCACAAAGAGAGGATAGTTTCTTCTGGCTCTCTCGATCTCAATTCCCCTTAGTTGAAGCAGACTCGCGTATTCCTGGTAGGTGACGTAGTCCAGGTCGGATGGGCTACGAAGACGGCAGTCTGTGAAGGAGCAGAGGAGAGTGGGCGTCATTCCGCACCAGGAGACGGTGTACGAGAAGTATTCGGCACGAAAGAGGAGGAAGACGTCTCTGGGACATGCGCATGAAAGAAGAAAGTAGGAGGGCCAACGGGTTGAGCCAAGAATCGAGTCATTGACGCCGAAGAGGCGTCTGTTCAGGAAGTAGCGGACGATGTCGGTGTGGCCGTGGACCATCGCAAGCAGCAGGACGCGGTTGGCCTGTCTGCTCAGCGTGGGAGTGGCCCTGAAGTTGATTTTGTACGGTCTCATTTCCAGAACAGCCTTGTGCATCAGGTGCACCTCAAACTCCCAGTCGAGGCCGCCGTGCTCCTGGATGTTGTGGTTCCTGTTTGGCTGCACCACTGTCTTGATTCCATTTGTTCTGTACGTGTGTTCCAGAATGGCTATTTCAGTCATTCTTCTCTTGAAGAGAGTCGTGTCTGTCTTGATTAGCAGGAATTCCAGAAATGTGTCAGGGAGATCCATGGGCAGATTATTGGACAAATAGTTGGAGCAGGAAGAGACTGTGGTATTTTTGCCCATGTCTCAGAGCAATTTTGTGGAGCAGTTTGTGAAGGAGAATGGGAGAGTGCCAAACTACGACGTGAAGCAGGCGAAGAGGGAGGCGAGGGCGCAGAAGCTGATTCAGAAGAAGGCGACTGGGCTGATTGGAATCAAGGGGCGGCTGTTTGCGAAGAGGAGGAAGAGCGAGAAGATTCAGCTGAAGAAGGCCGTGGCAGAGGTGGAGAAGAAGAGGGCTGTTGTGGCAGTGGGAGATGGAAGAGCACTTCCATCATTCTTGCTTGATCGAGATATTGATCAGAAATCAAAAGCAGAATTCAGTAGGCGGATAAAGATGCAGAGGCAGAACAAGATTGAGAAGTATGCGGTGCCAGTTGCACAGGTAGAGGGGATTGCTGAGAAAGAGGCATTTGGGGTGGTGAAGACTGGAAAGAGGCAGAAGAAGCAGTGGAAGCGAATTGTGAACAGGCCGTGCTTCGTAGGGGCTGATTTCACGAGGAAGGCACCAAAACACGAGAGATTCATCAGACCAACGAGTCAGAGGATGACGGTGGCAAATGTGGTGCATCCTGAACTGAATGCAACCTACAAATTGCCCATTTTATCAGTCAAAAAGAATCCATCTGGTGACATTATGACGTCATTGGGCGTATTGAGCAGGGGGACCATTTTGGAGGTGAATGTGAGTGAATTGGGGATAGTTGATGGGGCTGGACAGATTGTCTGGGGGAAATATGCGCAGATCACAAACCATCCAGAGCGAGATGGCTGTGTAAATTGCATTCTGCTGGTTTAGTAAACGGCTCTGTTTTATTCTTCTGGATCAGCAACACCGCCTTCAGTGATTGAGAACGTGGCTTCTGCCTCTGGAAGAGAAGGCGAATCGTAGATTTTGCAGATTCGCGTATCACCACGTCCCTTTCTGAGGTAGAGACGAGTGGTAGATGCGTGTGCAATGATGTGGCCTCCAATTGGCTTCTTTAGGTCTCCACCGTAGATTGAGGCTGCTCCATCAACGTTGGCTACGACCTGATTCGTGATCAGAACAGCGACGCCGTAGGTTTCAGCCAAATTCATCAGAGACCTGAGAAAGCGAGCAAGAGACATCTGACGAGCAGAGAGCTCTCCACGACCAGTGTAATCGGTTCTGTAGAGGGAAGTGGCAGAGTCAACGATGAGCGTGGAATATTTGGATTCGGACATCAACGCAGATGCGTGAATCAGAAGAATATTCTGATGATCAGAGTTGTAGGCTCTGGCATACGAAATGTTTTCGAAGACTTCATTTGGATCCAGGCCAAGACGCTCTGCAATTGGAACAAGACGTTCCGTTCTGAACGTGCCTTCGGTGTCAATGTACATGCATTTGCCACCACCGCCACCTGATTCACGAGGAAGTTGGCTTGTGACTGCAAGGGTGTGACACAGCTGAGACTTTCCAGTTCTAAATTCACCAAAAACCTCAGTGATTGTGCCACTTTCAATTCCACCATTTAGGAGCTTATCCAGTTCAGAAGAGCCAGTGCTGACGTAGACCACGTCCTTACGCTTCGTGTGGTACTCGGTGGCAGTGGTGAATCCCATTGGAACCAGTTTGGCAGCCTCCTTGATCAGTTTGTCAACTTTGGCATCTGAAAACCCTTTTATGCTTAATAGCTCTTTTCTGGGAGCAAATGCCAGGGATTGAACAGTGTTGTAGCCTGCTTCAGAGAGCTTGGACACGTCACCTGCGCTTATTCCAACAGTCTTCAGGTCCTCGATGTTGATAAAGGTCGTGTTCTGGATGTTTTCTGTCTCATCGTACGCTTCTTCTCTCCGTGCCATTTTTATGCTTGGTAAAATTTTATTTTTATGTGAATTAAGCTTAACTGATTTTGTTTGTCAAACAAATTCTAATCATTTATGTATAATAATAAGGTCTACTGATGTCAATTCCCATCTCCTCGAGTGCCTTCTCCACATCTGGAACCTGTAATGTTACTCTCTTCTCCTTCGCATACCTCTTGTCCTTGGAACGGGCCTTTACATGAATTTTGTGAAACTGGTATGCATTTGTTGCTATGTCAGTAAGAAACTTGTGAGCCATCAATGAGACCGTCTTTCTTATGCTCTCGTTGTCTGTCTTCACCCCATTCTTCTCCAAATAGTGGTCTATCACACTCTCAGGCAGAAGTGGCGTGTATTTGCTCAACCTCTCCTTGAATTCCTCTTCCTTCATCAGGGTGAAAAAGACTCTACCAAATATTTTAACTAATTTTCCTCCTCAGCATCTACGCCATCTCTCAACGTCATCTCCTTGTAATTTCTCGTAAATTCCTTTGCCTTGGCCCAGTCAAACCCAGTCACCTTCCCATCATAGCTCATATTGGTGAATTTGCTGCAGACGGAGTCAATGATCGAATATGCTAGTCCCGTACAGATTTGCGCGAGTTGTTGGACGTTAATATTAAATCTTCCTGTAGTTTTAACTGCACTCAGCCTGTTATCCAGAAACCCCTGGATATTTTCAATCGTAGGCATTTTGAAGTTGACCTTGTTTGAGAATCGCGTGAAAATAGCTGAATCAATTTGCTTGCTCATGTTTGTTGCTGCGAAGAAGAAGACGGGATAAATCACGTTTCTCATGTCTGAAAACTGCGTCAGGAACTCAGTCATCGTTCCGGCTGTGACGCTGTCATCTTGCCTGTTTGCACGAGAAGTGAAGAGCGACTCTGCCTCGTCAAAGAAGACAAATGTTGCCATATACGGGTCCTTGTCAACCTTAATGTCCTGAAACAGCTTCCTCACACGCTTCTCTGACTCTCCTACGTACTTGTTGTTTATGTCAGATGGTCGTATCACAATAAGGTGCACTCGTGACACCATCTTGTCTAACTCCTTGATTCTATTGTCTGTTAGAGTGTTTGGTGTGTACTTGTTTAGTTTCTTTCCGTCCTTATGGAGTGAATACATTTCTTTAAGCTCCAGGTCCATCAGGTAGCAGAGTCTTTTGACGTAAAGTGTCTTTCCTGTACCAGGTGGCCCCAACATGAACGTACCAAAGCTCTCTGCAACCACCGTATCCTTTACCTGCTCCTGTGTCTGCGTATTCAGCCTATAAATATTTGGAATAAACAGTCGCAACTGCTTCTCCATGTCTTCCTTCTTTCCTTGATACTTGATCTCCCTGAACAGATTTCCTTCCATTTGTTCAAAATGCTTCGTAGACGTCAGTTTTGCCAGCTTTCTGTCTCGAACTGTCTCTAATATCGCATCAGGGAATCTTCCAATCATCACCCCTGAGTAACCAAATCCAATCGCCAGTGCCAGGAGTATCACTAAGAAGCAGACAATCGTCTTCGTAATGAGATGTGTGTTCTTCTTGATGGAGTTGAACACTCTCTTCAGTCGTGACTTCTCTTTCTCTGGTGGCATCTCAGTTTCATTTGGATTTGAATAGTGATATTCTTGATATTCCATTTAGGGGGTGAAAAAGAATATTGAAGACATTCGCCTAATTCACCAATCAGAAAATCGTACAGTCATTTACTACTAGGTTATTCAAATTGATTTCTACCACTTTATCTCCTAAATTCCTCTTTCTCCATATCCTCAACGCCTCTTATGTACTGTTCAGCACCAGCCGTGTTGAATTTCAGGAAGTTTCCATCAGCATCGTAGTTCTTGAACTTCGTAAGGAGTGATTCGATGAATGAGAACGACCTGTTGTGCGTAACCTGCGTCAGTCGAGTTATATCTGCATCTGATGCGTTATATTTCTTGATAAAATGCTCAATGTATTTCTTCCTGATGATTGAATCAGGATTCTTAAAATAGATCTTGTTGGAGAATCGCCTGAAAATGGCTGGATCGATCATCTCCTTCATGTTCGTGGCTGCGAAGATGAATGAGGCCTGGAAGTCCTCGCTGATGGCGCTGATCTGCGTCAGAAACTCCTGCATGATCCCAGCCCCCGTTGTATCCTCTTTTCGCATGTTCTTTCTGCTTCCAAAAAGTGCTTCACCCTCGTCAAAGAATGCGATATTCACGTGATGCGGCTTCAAATCGCTTCTAAGGTGCCCAAAGAGCCTCTTTACGTTCTTCTCGCTGTTTCCAACCCATTTATCCTTGATATCCGATGGCTTGATCACATACAGGCGCACGACTCCATCAGCATTGTCACATAGCCTCTTCTCCTCGTCTGTCACCTGCCCCAAAACGTACTTTGACATGTCAAACCCGTTCTCCTTGAACTTCCTGATCTTCTTCAACTCGCATTCCAGTTCGTAGCAGAACTTCTTCACGTAGAGCGTCTTTCCTGTTCCAGGCGGCCCAAGTAGAAAGGTGCCCATCGACTCTGCCGTCATCTGCTTCTGCAAATTCTCCTTGTCGTTCATGATTCTGTAGATGACGGAAGCAAAGAACTTCACCTGACTGATTATTTCGTCCATGTATCCGAAATAGATCATCTCCTTGAACTCCTTCCCCTCCATTGCGACGAACTTCTTTTCGTCTGTTGCTGGTGCATCTGTTCCACCACCGTATTGTGCGTCGTACTTGTTGTAGTACCACTTCTTTAGGTTGCTGTAGAGGTGCAATTCCAGAAATACCCCAAATGAGACGGCCACAATGACTACAATTATGAGGGTGTACCTCTTAAAGTTCATCACCGTCGACTTGGACCACTTTGATTTTGGCGTCTTTATCTCTTCCACCGTCTTATCATTTTGCACCAAATCAACTTCAGCCATAAAGGGACAAAAATATTCAACAAATATTGAAAGCAACCTGTAAATTTCAGCCTAAAAATAGGCGCAATTTCCTCTCCAATGCCTCAAACCAGTACAAAAATTCTATTTGCGTATTTGGTGAAATACCTGGAGTTTGACGAGAACAGGTTGAAGGAGTTAGGAGCAGATATGGGCAGAAACATGTTGATGATTCACGGATTTGAGAGGGAGCAGACACTCGAGGGCCTCCTCTACAAAATCACGTACGTCCACTTGCCGCAGTTCTACGAAACAGCTCGCCACCTCGAGAAAGTGGTCAAGAACAAGCACTACCTGATCACTGAATCAAATCCAATTTTCACAAACCAGGCAAGCACGCCCCAGAATGAGACATTTTGCTGTGAGACACTGATAGCAGGCGCAATTGAGAAGATGATTGGAGTCAGTGGATTCAGCTGTGACGTCACAGCCCACAACTCCACGAACAAGGTCGTCTACGAGGTGCAGGCATCCAATTGATCATCATTTGAATCTGACATTGTGGAGTCGATCCATGTGTGAAACCAGGCTCTTCTTATATACATAGGTGCATCCACAGTAGATGCACTGGTATTTCTTGCTGTTGATGGACGAGATTGCCCCTTTTGATTCGACGAGGATGTCGTCTGGTTTCTCCCTGACTTTCTTCACAAGTTGAGGAAGAGCAAGGCGTCATTGACGCGTCTCTGGTTGATCATGTTCTTCTGGTGATACTGTTTGCTTCCCATGGGTCCATCTGTCAATGTTCAGCTATCTTTCATCAGTTTGAGTATCTGATCAGAAAAGGCATTGATGGATCAATTCATTCTATGATTCATCTTGAAATCAAATAAATCACAAATTAAAAACAAGTTTGACAGGTGGAGAATTCCGGTTGATCAAAGAAGGCGTTTGAGGGCCGATCCACGAATGTGGTTGTTTTCAGCCAGAAACTGATCAAGCCTGGTTTCCAGGGTGCTTCTCTCGTCCAATACGACACTGAAGACGTAGCCGTAGAACAGGAATGCGTGGATGTAGAACAAGTTGGTTCCCAGGAAACTGTAGTTTTGGGTGAATGAGATGATGGCAGTAGCACCGTGCAACACGACGGCAACACGACGGCAACACCATTCAACACCAGCAGAATGTTACGAGGAGTGTAGGAAGTGTCACGGATGCACAGGTTCAGCAGAACGAATATTCCAAATTCAACCAAAAAGGCGACGTGGACGAGGCACCACTCAACCAGGCAGATCAGTGTTTGAGGATTCTTGCATTCGATCTTGTTAAGTGGCTCATTTTCGTACAGGTTCATGATAAATCGATATGCAACAAACATTGATAGAAATGTGAATACCATTATGCGAAGTGATTTGAAGTTCTTTCTCTTTTGATACGCCTCGATGATGCAGGAGTCGTTGGTGAGGACTGTGATGCTTTTGAGGGTGATTGGGCCCAGTATCGTGGTGAAATGGTATGCGAAGCCAAACTCAAGCGTAGCCAATCCCCCTATCAGAAAGACCAAAATCCAATAGATTCTGATTGAATTGATAATGAATATTCCGAGTATCTGGAGACAGGTGGATGCCTTGAGCATGTACAGAATCACAGCAGACGCAATGGTGCTTCTGTATTGCGTGATATCCACCGTAACCAATGCTTCCATGAATCCAACAAATAGTCCCAGGTTGATCGCAAATGTGATTATTATTTTGCCAATACAGATGTCTTTGATTCCACCTTCCTCAGGAATGGTTTGAGGAGTCAGTAGAAAGATAATCAGGGTGTTCTTTGCAATGAAGACAACCCAATGGAAGATGATTGCTGCATTGAGCTCAGCAAAATTCCGCTTGGCCAATATTTTGTTTATCATGGGTAAACAATATCACTATCAATATTGATTATTGGTTTGGCATAATGATTTATAAAAGTTGAGTAATTTATAAAAGTTGAGTAATTTATCAATGTTGAATGATGGTACGATGTAGTTCACGGAAGTCGTGCAGTTTGCGTGTCAGCTGCTTCATGTTCTCAGGCATGTCTGTCAGTCTGAAGTACCCTATGAATTCAGCATAATACTCCTTTTTGTTACTGAAGCGTGTTTTGTTGATTAGCTTTAGAATTGATCTCTCCTCAGCCGAAGACTCCCAATCTAAACCAAGTACTGCGCTAATAAATGTCATTTCCTTCCTGTTTCTGTCTTTCAGGTCAAACTTTATCAGCTCCTTAAAAAGTGTCTCATCGAGATTCTTGTTTCCTCGTACACTGCGCTTGCTGGAATGAAACAGCACCACTTTCACGTTTCTGTTGTCGTCTTGGAGCAACGGAGCCAGCAGATTCCTCTCAAGAATCGTGTCCAATTCGAATACGCGTTTTTCAAGGGGGAGAGCCCGAACAGCCTCAAGCTGCTCACGAGTCACGTCGTAGTCATCAAGGTCCAAGATGTAGAATGTGACTGTGACACGGAGCAGAAAGAGAAACAGTAGCGCCAGCAGAGTCAGAATGTGAGAGAGAAGCCCCACTTTGAAGACGAATGTTTTGTCTTTGCTTTTGAAT